CCTGCCTAGAATCCCCCAGTGAGGGCTATGGTGTAACCCAGTGGTATGCAGCATATTTGAAACCCTGCTTTCCATCCCCAGCACTGCTATAAATAAATAGATTAAATATTTTTAAAAATAATAGAAAAGGAGTAATATAAATGGTCAATTTATTGGTTGAACCAAGGAACAACCAATTTGTTATTTTGCCTTTTTTTATTTGTTTGTTTGGTTTTCCCCTAAGCTGAGGACAGAACCCAGGGCCTTGCACTTGTTAGGCAAGCACTCTATCACTGAGCTAAACCCCCGACCCCGGAACAAACAATTTGTAAAAGCCTCAGTTGTAACATATATTGTTAGGCAAAGTTTACTATTGGGCTGGGGTACAACTGTGTGGCACAGACCTCACCGAGCATACAGGACACCTTGGGTTTCATGCCCAAATCTTCCAATATTCCCTGTAGGGTGTAATCAGGAAGCCAGGTGTCATGAGGGTAGTGATACTGGAATCCCTTCCTTAATTTTCCAGGTCTCTTTGACCCTAAAGCCACCTGCACTGTTCACTAGACATCATTTCCTACTAGCTGTTCTGGCTTAGGGAGGTGAAGCGGAGGCGGATGTGTTTCCAGCACCTTGGCTTTCTAAGCTTTCTCGGGAGGCCCTGCGTGTCCTTCGCATAGTCTCAGAAAGCCAGACTCTGCCATCCAGGGACTTCACGACACCCTCTGACCTGCTGCTTTTTCTTCCTCACGGCAGCTTTAAGTCACAATCCACGGGTTCTAAATGGGCAAGGATAGCCAGGAAGAGGTGCGCAATTGCCATCGATAACCTGATCTAGGACGAAAGAAAGGATGGGGACCAGGCATGGTGTCATGCACTCGTAATTCTGGCACTCAGTAGGCTGAAGTGGCAATACGATTTGAAGTCAGCCCAGGCTACATAGGGAGACCCTGACTCAAAATCAAAATATAAAGGCCATAGGGCAATTGCAAAGAGTCTGTTCATTGGTTCAGTTAGTAAGCTTCAGTGTCTGTCTCTTACCTGGTTGTCTGTGTTTGTTTGGCAGTTTTGAGGGTGGATCCCCCAGCCCCTCACTGGGGGATTCTAGGCAGGTGCTCTACCACTGAGCCACACCCCAGCCCCTCACTGGGGGACTCTAGGCAGGTGCTCTACCACTGAGCCATACCCCAGCCCCTCACTGGGGGATTCTAGGCAAGGGCTCTACCACTGAGCCAGAATTCCTTTTCCAGAGCTCCAGGCTCCCTGTGTCAGTAAGTGCTTGTGTAGCACATGTAAGCCCTAGGTTCAATCTGCAACACTACAAAAGTATGGAAAAGGAAAAGAAGGGATGAGGGAGAGAAGAGACACCTGGGAGGGAGGGAGGACGTAGAGTGATGAGGAACTCTGAGGATGTAGATTTGGTAGCTGAGAGTCCCTGGGAGGGAGGGAGGGCACACCTGTGGTCCTCAGGTTTCTCTCCCTGCTGCTGACCACCCTACCAGTCACTCTCTTCCCCTCCTCCCTCAAACATAGCCCAACCCCCACTCTGGAGCAAGAGTCAGGCCCTCTGTTGCCATAACAACCACATCCCAGCAGTAAAAATAGTAACTTATTTTTTATTCAACTTCTTTAGCTGATGGAGGGGGAACTAGCCATTTCTAGGCTTGCATTTTATTCCAGGGGTTTCCTACTGGGCTCCACAGAGCCCACTGCCAAGGCCTGCCTGAAGGTGGCGGAAGCATGAGTGGACAAACAGCCAGGGCGAGGAGGAGGAGGAGGACACAACCTTTGTGAGCTCTGATTCCAGCCTCCTAGGAGCTGTGGCTACCAGTGACCACTTGGGATCCAGCCTGGACTCTCTGGGGAGAAAAGTGATCAGGGAGGGTTCGGCCATGCTCAGCAGAAACCTTGTGAGTTGCGGCTGAGGGCTGGGCTGATATTGCTAGGAGACAGACGGGTGTTAATGCAACCGACAGAGACACGGGCCAGTGGTCAGCACAGGCCTGTGCAATATGGGGCTTAACTCTCCCCTTGTCTGTTGGGGTTTGTCTCCGGGAGGTCTGAAGAAATTACTAGAGTTTCTGGGAGCTGTGTTTGGCAGTGAACTTAGGGTGCAGAGAATGAGATTCAAATGCATAGAGCCTGTTTCCATGAGCTGAATTCCTTAGGAATGTCCCTGGATTCCAGTATCCCCATTCATACTTTGCTACTCTGGCCGCATAACCCTAGCTCACTCTGATTGTGCACGTGGAGGTCACAGGTCAACACTGCGTGTCCATTAGTGCAATGGCTTTCAGTCTTCCTAATGCTGCAACCCCTTAATACAGTTCCTCATGCTGTGGTGACCCACAACCGTACAATTATTTTCCTTACTACTTTATGCTTTGTATGTCCCACTTCATAACTGTGATTTTGCCATTGTTATGAATTACAGTGTAAAATCTGATATGCAGATGGTCTTAGGCGACCCCTGTGGAAGGGTTGTTAAGCCCCCAAATGAGTCATGACCCACACGTTGAGAACCACTCCCCTCTTGCTTTACATCTTCTTTTCTAATTTATTTTTTCTTTTTGTTTTATTTTTATTTTATGCACATGAGCGGGTTGCCTGTGTGCACGCATGTGCACTGCGTGTACATCTGCTGTCCACACAGACCAAAAGAGGGTTCCAGATCCTCTAGAACGGGAGTTGAGAGTGGTTGTAAACTACCATGCAGATGCTGAGAACCAACCTCAGCCCCCTGCAAGAACAGCGAGTGCTCTCCACCACCGAGGCATGTCCATCCTCTGCACCTTATTCTCTGAGGTTACTCATCAGATCTGGAGCTTACCAACGGGCTAGGCTGGCTGACCAGAACCCTCCCGGGATCCTACTGTCTCTGTTACCCTAGATTATATGTGGGTGCTGGGGATCCACACTCAGGTCCTCATGGTTGCGTGGCAGGAACTTTACCCAGTGAGTTGTCCTTTCAGCCCCTCTTTCTGGTTTTTTGTTTCTTCTCACTCCTCCTTCGTGGTTGTTGTTGTCTTACAATGTAGTTCTGGCTAAACTAATACAAGACCCTCTTGCTCCAGACTTCTCAAGGCTGGAGTTATAGGTTTTTTTTTTTTATTATTGTTTTGTTTTTGAGACAGGGTTTTTCTCTCTCTCTGTTTATCAACCCCTAGCTGTCCTGAAACTAGTTCTTGTAGACCAGGCTAGCCTTGAACTTACAGAGATCCACCTGCCTCTGCCTCCCAAGTGCTGGAATTAAAAGCCTGTGCCACCGCCGCCCAGCTATGAACACGCATTTTCATCCCAACTAGGATCCATAAATACATAGCCAAACATGCCTTCCGCTCACCTGTGCAAAGGCCTTCTAGCCATTCCTCTGCCTCATTTTTAAAATTTGTTTTTAAAGTTAACATAAAGAGGAATGAGTTTCATTGTATCATTTTTGTTAATTCTCTCTCTCTTTACTAGAAACTGAATTCAGGGTCTCACACATGTTAGGTAGACCCTCTACAGATAAGCCATGCTTCCAGTCCCTCACTGGGGGATTCTAGGCAGGTGGTCTACCATTGAGCCACACCCCAGTCCCTCACTGAAGATTCTAGGCAGGTACTCTACTGGGGTAATATGCCCTGCTTTCCTTTGATTTCTTTTTCTTTGAGATAAGATCGTACTAAATTGTTCAGGCTAACCTTGAACTTGAGCCTCTCCCGCTTTTGTATCCCAAGTGACTGTGTTAGACATCCTCTTGAACTTCTAGACTAACATCTGAGACTGGTCAGCCTCATTTCCTAAGTACCCCAGGGTCTCCCTTCCTTCTTCCCTCCCTCCCTCCCTCCCTTCCTCCCGTCCTCCTTTCCTTTGCTTTTGTTTTTTGAGACAGAGTTTTTCTGTAGCTTTGGAGCCTGTCCTAGAACTAGCTCTTGTAGACCAGGTTGGCCTCGAACTCACAGAGATCTGCCTGCCTCTGCCTCCCGAGTGCTGGGATTAAAGGCGTGTGCCACCACTGCCTGGTTCCCAGGGTCTTTCTTTTGCCTCTTCCTTCAGCATTCTCATTCCTTCCCCTTACTGCCGCTCCTGTCACGGCCTCCTCCCCACCATCTACCTGTAACCCTCTGGTCTTGCCCAGCTAGGGCCATGTGTGTGTCCACTCTGGGCCCAGCAGAGGGTTTGGAAAGCAGAGGCGAATCGGCCAGGCACTCTCTTGTCAGTTGATGTCTTGTTCTAGCTCCACTGATGCAGAGGGTATGGGTGGCATTTTTTCAGTAATCGACAGGACACCAAGCAAACATTGTTTTAAGAAGAAGGAGGCCTGGCAGTGCGGGCACATCCTGGCCACTTGGGAGGCTGAAGGTAGAAGGATTGCAAGTTCAAGGTCAGCCTGGGCTACAGAGTGCCAAAGCCAACTTGAGCGATTTAGCCAGACTGTCTCAAAACAAAACTAAACGAGGGATTGGGGATGTAGCTTAGCTCATCTAGCATGTGCTATGCTACATGCTACACTTTCTAGCACTGGGTAAAAATAAATTAATTAAAAGGATCAAGAAGCTGTGGACTCCCAAGATGGGAAAGCTGTGGGATGGAGGAGAGGATTTCTTATCAACGTGGGGACCATCTGCACACATTGCATCTATGATCAACCAAGAAGCAGAGAAGTGCCAGCCGTGGGGGTGCACACCTTTAATTCCAGCTCTTGAGAAGCAGAGGCACGGGATCTTAGTGAGTTTGAGGACAGTCTGGTCTACAAAGTGAGCTCTAGGATAACCAGGAATGTTACACAGATAAAGCAAAAAAAAAAAAAAAAAAAAAGAAAGAAAGAAAGAAAGAAAGAAAAGACGGGGAAGCCGTGGGAGGATGAGAGGCCTTCCCAAACTTGGGGACCATCTGGTCATAGTCGGTCAGGAAACAAAGCAACGCCAGGCGGTGGAGGTGCACACCTTTCATTTCAGCATTTGGGAGGCAGAGGCAGTTGGATCTCTGAGTTCAAGGCCAGCCTGGTCTACGCAGAGAAAAAAACAAACAAAAAGCTGAGAGACAAGGGTGCTGGCACTAAGCTCACACTCTGTTTTATTCAAGGCTGTCCCGCAGACCTGGAAAGGTGCAGCCCACACTTAGGGCGGTCCTTCCTACCTCAGCCTAACCAATGTAACTCCCACAGCCAAGCTCAGAGGTTGTGTCTTCGGTGAATCTAGATGCAGCTGACAATAAACATCAAAGACCATCTTTCCTCCAGCTGGATTCTCATGTCTTCCAAACAAAGTCCCATAAAGCAGAAAGCTGACTTTTGGGGCTGGGGAGCTGGCTTCACTAGGTGAAGGGATTGACACCAAACCATGAGTTTTGGCTCCAGTTGTACATGATGTAAGGACAAGCCAACTCCGGCAAGTTGTCCTCTGACCTCCATGCACATGATAAATACAGAAAGGTAAGAGGCTGGAGAGATGGCTCAGCGGTTGAGTGCTTGCTTCTGGTGCAGAGGATTGGAGTTTGATTTCCAGGACCCACTTCATTTGGGTCACAGCCTCCAGTAACTCCAGCTCCAGGGGATCCTACACTTCGGACTTCAGGCACCTGCACTGCAAGTTCCCCTACACACACACACACACACACACACACACACACACACACACACAGAGAGAGAGAGAGAGAGAGAGAGAGAGAGAGAGAGAGATTAAAAATTGAATAAATGTTTTAAAATATTAAAATGGAATAAAAATAATAATAAAAAGAAAGCTGGAGTTTGAAGACGTGAGGATGGACTCGGGGGTGAGGATCCTGGACATGCTGGGGTGTCCCCATCTTGGGGTGTGGCGGGGAAGGGAGGGACGACAGGACAGGAAGGTGAGTCCTAGAGACAGAGAGTCCTGGGTGTTAAGAAGGATTCAGGATTGGCAGGCTTCTCAGAGGTGCAAGGGGTAAGAGCCAGCAACAAGTAGGCTGAGGGTGGGTGCTACCTGGTCCGGTCCCCAAGCGTCCCCTGTGGCTGGCAGCCTAGCTGACTACGGCTGACAGAGGCGGTTCAGTCTAGTCCAAGCTGTCTTCTGCAGGCTGGAAAAGCGATGGGGTGGAGGGGACACCGGGAGACGCTAAAAGGAGAGAGGGGACCTCCCAGCCGAGCGATTGGCAGCGTGCTCCTGAGTCGTCCCCCACCCCACCCCGCTCCCCATATCCCGCCCCCGCCCCGCCCCCGCCACCATCTGCTCGGGATTTGCTATCCCGAGACTCCAGGCTAGGGGCTCTAGAGGCAGCCGATCCGGTGTGCTAAGGGCCGTTGAGCTGCCCGAGGATCCGACGCCCTTCCAACCTGCTGCGCCTCCTGCAGCGGCTGCCTGCGTTCCCGCGTTCCAGCCCCGGGTCGGGTGCTGATGGAACCGCGGTGATGTTCACTCTGGCCAGGCTGCTGGATTTCCAGAAAACCAAATACGCAAGGTGAGCAGCGGAGCTGGGGGGCGGGGATGGGGTGGGGTAGACAAGGGCCAGGGCTCTGAGGCCCCTTTTTCCTGTCCCTACTGCTTGGGGAATTGAGCTTGACGCCCGGGGCCAGAACAACCCAGTAACCAGGCAGTATCGTCTTCGTAATGGAGTGGAAATTGTTATCCCGCTTTTGCGCGCGGCGCCCCGGATTCTCCGCGTTTCCTTTCTCCCTTGGGCGAGGCGCTTCATCGGTCCAGAGCACAGTTTCCACATTTGCGACCCGGTGAACAACGAAAGTCCCCACCGTTAGGGACCATGGGAGGTTAGAATGAGATGATCCTTAGAAAGCACTTTGCAATGCCAGCAGGGCGGGGGAACTGTTCCATCCCTACGGGGCTCCGTGGGTAACATTTAAAAAGGATTTTACACGCACCTGGTGTCTACTCTCAAGGCAAGGCAGAGATAGGTCCCCTTTTCAGGCGGAGAAACTGAGGGTCAGAATTCAGGAGGAGGTGATTATCCCAATCTCTGGGGTCCAAGATGAGCCCTGATTTCTTTTTCTGTTTTGTTTTGTTTGGGACAAGTCTTACTATGGTAGCCCTGTCTGGCCTGGAGTCCTCTTTGTAGACCAGACTGCCCTTTGACCTCATAGAGATCTGTCAGACTCTGGAGTGCTGGTCATTCTTTATCGTTTTTGTTTTGTTTTTCGAGACAGAGTTTCTCTGTGTTGCTTTGGAGCCAGTTCTAGACCTAGCTCTTGTAGACCAGGCTGGCCTCGAACTCACAGAGATCCTATTGCCTCTGCCTCCCAAGTGCTGGGATTAAAGGCGTGCAGCACCACCGTTTGGCTCCTTATCATTTTTTTTGAGACAGTCTTGCTACGTACCCCAGGCTGGCCTTGATCTAAATGTGTAGCCAGGCTTATCTTGAACTTAATTCTCCAGTCTCAGCATCCTGAATGCTGAAATTAGGGCTGGGAGTCCACACACCATACAAGAGTATATTTTAATGAATACTGTGTATACATGATTTCAGGATGTAGTCCATCTGAACACATTATTTGTGAGATATTTTGCACTCTTTGTAAAAATCTGAAGTCTTCAATATTTAGTGTACATTCTGATTTGATTGCCTTGAAAGATTGTTATTATATCTATTTTTTTTTTTATTGTGTGTGGGCTTGTGTGCCTCCACCTTGTGGAGGTCAGGCAGCATCGTAGAATTGGTTCTCTCCTTCCAACTTTATGCAAGTTCCAGGGATTGAACTCAGGTCTCTGGGCTTCTCCTTGAACTGCTGAGCCATCTTGTCATGCCCTTCATGCCCGCCCCCCCTTTTAGAAAGTGTCTCTTCCTATAGCCCAGGCTTTTCTGAAACTCACTATGCATCCGGGGTCAGCCTGGCACAAGTGGCAATCCTTCTGCCTCAGCCTCCTGCAGGTTGGGATTACAAGTGTGTGCCAGCGTGCCTGGTTGCCTCTGTGGCTGGAGAGGTGGGCTTTTGAGAAGGGATCAGGTCTTAAGAGACAGAACTGTTTCACTTGAATGAGTGCTCGCTCTCAGAGACTGGATGAGCTCTTCCCTGAGCTGGTTGACAGCCCCCCACCCCACCCCGGGCTTGCCCCTTCTGCACTCACCCTTGAACTGAAGCCAGCAAATGGACTTTGTGAGAGCCTCTACTCTCTGTGTCCTAAGATGGCTCTAACTCACAGCTGAGGACGACCTCAGACGTCCCATCGCTCCAGTGCTGGGTGAGGTGTACTCCTCCACACCCAGTTTATGCAATGCTGGAGACGAAGATCAGTGCCTTGTACACAGTGGACAAGCACCCTGAGCTATTCCCCTGGCCCAAGAACCTCTAATCCTTTCAGCTGGCCTGTCTCAGGCATTCTGTTCCAGCAACAGAAAACAGACCTAGTGGCTGGGAAGAGAGCTCAGTTGATGAGGTGCTTGTCCCTCAAGACTGAGGGCCTGAGTCTGAACCCTAACACTCGAGCTAGAAAGCCAGATGTGGCGATGCCCTTGAAATCTCCGTGCCAGGGAGGTGGATACAAGTGGCCCTCTGGAGCTTGCCGACGATCCAGCCTCTAAATCAGGTAGGCTCTAGGTCCCAGCAAGAGACCCCTGACTCAAAAACAAGGTGGATGGTTCTGGAGGAAGTACTGACTTTCTGGCCTCCACACGAGCACATGTGTATATACTGCCTTCCGCAAATATGCATACATGCCCCCCCCCACAAAGATAATGGACAGACTTCGATAAGGTCGGGGGAGGCACAGCGGGTGTTTCTTAGTTCTACCAGCATTGTCTTCTTTCTTTCTAAAATTTTGGATATCCGGAGATGCTAGGAAAAGAAGTTTGGGTTCTTTTTATCTTATTATAATTTTTAAATTACATTTGTGTGTGTGCGGGGTGTGTGCCTTGGCATTCACTTGGGGGGGTCTTAGAACAGCGTGAGGATGTTTGTTCTCTTCTTCCACCACGTGGGTTACAGGGATTAAACTGGGATTATCAGGCTTGGCAACAGCACCTTTACCCACTGGGCCATCTTGGTGGCACCTGCTTTGGAGTCCCAACCATCTAATAGAGAAGTCAGATGAGGCTTCATTTCTTCGGCGATTTTTATGGTCTGTACGGATGATAAAACCTATCTTTCTTTTGATATACATTTTTTAATTTGTTACACAGCAGGACATATTCTGAAACTTAGTTCTTGAGGGTTTTTTGTTGTTTGTTTTTTTTTTGTTTTTTTTTTTTTTGTTTTGTTTTGTTTTGTTTTTGAGACAAGGTCTTTCTCTGTAGACCGGGCTGGCCTTGGGCTTTCAGAGATCTGTCTGCTTCTGTCTCCCCAGTGCTGGGATGAGGGTCTTGTACCACTGTGCTCTGAGGGTACACTTGTTCTCATGGTAACCAATAAGCCCTTCTCCCCAGACTGAGTCAGCTTTGGGTCCTCTCACATTGGGCACTGGGGGGCATCTTTGGAGATGTCTACAGAAGTCTGTATCATGTGGCCACATGGCTGAGGCTCCTTCTACAGCAATGTCTCAGGTCAGTCATGGCCACGGGAGGCTGCAGGTCTCCGTTTTGCCTGGTGGTCATTAGGTGACACAAACCAGCGGCGGGCTGTGACATCTTGTTCACATTTTGAACTGGTTTGACCTCTTTTTTTGACCTCCAAGCTTGCTGGGTTACAGACTCACACGTGCGTGCATGCATGTTTGTTAAGCAAAGGAAGGGCAGTGTGGCTAGCCTTTGGGAATCCACCGGTAGCCAAGCTTGCACCGAAGCAGGACCTTGAGCAATCAGCTCCCTTTCTACTGAGTTTGATCCACAGGACTCACATGATGGGAGAAGAGAACTGACTCCTTGCAGATTCAGGAGGCTGAGGGAGAATTGTTAGTTTAAGGTAGCCTGGGATCAGTTGTGAGTCCCTCTGTCAAAACGAAGCAGGAGCAACAGCAACAAAGAAAAACCAAACCAAACCAAGCCAAAACAGAAACAAAAACACCCCAGCTTGTTTCCAAGCCCAGTTTAATCGCTGTCTGAAAAAAGCCCATACCATGGTCGTGTGATGGTTCATTTCATTCTTTCGCACATGTGGGTTTTGGAATATTCCACTCCTGAAATGGCACTTGGCCACATCTGTGCAACTGTGTTCAGGGGGATTTCTCATCTGTGGCCTGTATTACCCATTGTTGGCTCTGGGCACGGGCAGGCAGGTCCTGTGGTTCCCAAGTTCCAGGTCATATCCACAAGCTGCCCAGTGTGCAGTGACCGGGTCAAATGGCCCCACAGCGGAGTTCTTGCACGGGACTTGGATTTCTTCCTGAGGTCACCTAGAGACAAAGATAGGGTTCCAGCTTGTCCCACAGAGGGGTCCATGGGAAGGCTTGGAGTTGATGCTTAACTCCATCCTCACTGCTGCGTTGTTCTGCCTGTCAGTGGGACTGCTAGATGAGGTTGGAAGCATCTTTGTGGCCCTGCTCAGGACTCCTTGGTGTTGGGGGCGGGGGCGGGGCATGCAGATCCCTGAGCCGAGCACTTGCCAAGCATGCATGAAGCCTTGGGTTCCATCCTCAGCCCTGCATACACTGAATTTTATGGCTCATGCCTGCAACCCCAGCACTTGGGAGGTGGATGCAGGGGAATCAGAAGTTCAATGTTGTTGTTGGCTACTGTATATTGAGTTTGAGGCCTACATGGATTACATCAGACTCTATTTCAACCAACCAACCAAACAAACAAACAAACAAACTGGAAAGATTCATATTCCAGCCAGAATTGTGGTGTTGTGAAAAGCTGTAAGTTCTAGAAGTAGTTTCTGGCTGGAAGATGATGGGTGAGATATCTGTGGTGTTTGAGATGAAGACAGGTGTTGCCAGGTATTGGTTGTTATACTTTTGTGTGTGTGTTTTTATAGTAAGGGGCTGAGTCTAGGGGCCTTGTACCTGCTAAGCAAGCACTCTATATATCTTCAACCTCTTTTATTTTCATTTTATGTTGTGGTGCTGGGGACATACCGTAGCGTTGTTTACGGCCAGAGGCGCTCTACCCATAACCACATGCTCACCTTTTTGGTGTGTGAATTCCAGAGGCGGGGGTGTGTGTCGGTGGCCCAGGTGCATGTGTGCACATCCCAAGTGTGAAGGTCAGAGGACAACCTCTGGTGTTGGTCCTCAGGGGAGACAGAGTCTGAGGGCTTTG